AAAAAAAATACTATGGCCACTTTGGATTTACATTTGGAATTGAGAGTTGGTTCCATATTAGGAAAAGTCTAAGTAAATAAATAATTTTGTTTACAAAAAATAACATAATTATGTCAATAGATAGAAAAGAGATTTTAGTAGAATAAGAAATACATTTTTTGTTGAAAATCATTTAAAAAGATTACAACAAATTTGCCCTAATGTGGTTAAAATATTTAACTAAATTCAAGAGCTAGTGTTATACAAAATGGAGAAGTAGTAGAAACATTGTATGAGATCATGGGTAAAACAGAGTCACTACAAATTTGATATATTTCCAAAAAAAGACTGACTATAGCAATAAGACAAAACATTAGATGGAAGGAATGCACATAGGCAAAGGAAAATAAAGAGAATTCCTTTTTTGTAGATCACATGATAATCTACATAGAGAACCTTAAAAGTTACCCAAAAATTAAGCTAAATAATTTATAATATCAGAAAAGTAATAGGATATGAAATAAACCCACAAAAGCATCATTTTTTCCCCTCTATGTTACTAATAAAACCCAGGAAGAAGAGAGAGATAGAAAGAAAAATTCCATTCAGAATAAATATAGAGTATATAAAGTATTTGAAAGTCTACATAATAAGACAAATATAGAAACTATATGAATGTAAATACAATAAGGAAGCAAGAGTGAGGGAGGAAGAGAGGGAAGAAAGAAAGGAAAAATGAAAGAAAGGAAAAAGGAAGGAAAGAAGAAGGAAAGGAAGGAGAGAGGAAAGGAAAGAAGAAAAGAAACAAGAAAATGAAATCTAAATAATTAGAAAGGTAACAATTGCTCATGAGTGAGCTGTACCAGAATAATAAAAATGACAAAACCCAAATTAATTCATAAATTCAATTTCATGCATATCAAAGGGTCACTTTATAGAACTGAAAGCAAAAAACAAAATTCATCTGAAGGAACAAAGGGTCAATAATCTCAAAGGAAATAATGAAAAAAAAAAGGAGGGAGAAAATGGTAAAATAGCATCAGATCTCAAACTATGCCAGAAAGCAATAGTCATAAAATTTCTTTGGTACTGGTACAGAATAGATACACAACATACCAAAACAAACAGTGAAAGCTGAGTATTAATAACATCAAATTAGGGGTAAGCATTAATTATTTGACAAAAACTGCTGAGGTAATTTGGAAATTAGCCTGGCAGATATGAAGGTTAGACCAACATCTTATACCAAATTTTTTAAAATAGTATTTTATTTTTTCCCAGTTACATGTCCAGAGAATTGTTTAGCATTTATATTTACAAAATTTTGAGTTCCAAATTTTTCTCTCTCCTTCCCTCTTCTGAAAACGGTAGGCAATTTGATATAGTGTATACATGTGCTATCATGTTAAAAAATCCATATTAGTCACAGTTGTCTCACACCAAATATTACAATAAGCTTCAAATGGATATATGACCTATAGATAATGTTTAATGCCATTAACCAATTTGAGCAATAAGGAAGGAGATACCTTTCACAGCTATTGACAAGGGAAGTGTAATTGACCAAAGGAGAAACTAAAAAGAGGATAAAATAGACAATTTTGATTACATAAACTAGAAAAAATCACCCCAAACAAAATCAATTCCATTAAAATTAGAAGAGAAAGATTTAACTGAGTGGAAAAATCTTAGCAGCAAACCCCAATGAAAAAATATTATGTCCAAGATATGTGAGGAATTGATTCCAATATTTAAGAACAAAAACCATCCCTAATGGATTATCAGTCAAAAGTTGTGATTAGGCAATTAAAAATATAATTTTTCAACAACCATATAAAATCATCCAGATAATTGATAACAATAATACAAATTAGAACAAGCTTGAAGTCCACCTCTCAACCACCAGATCAGTAATAATAACAAAGAAAGAAAATAAAACTATGGTAGGATAGATAGTCTAATGCTCTGTTGGAGCTGTAAATTGATCTAGCTCTTCTAGAAAGCAATTGGAAAACTTCTCAACAGTTACTACTGTATAAACTTTGACCTGATGATACCATTTCTAGGGAATTAGTAAACAAAAATCTACTATTTGCTAAGTGTTGGGCATATGCCTCCAAGAAATCCAAGAAAGAGGGAATGGATCCATATAAATATTCACAGCAATATTTTAATGTACCAAAGATCTAGAAAAAAAGGCAGTGTTTTGTTTTATCCCTGGTGATATGAGGTCACAATCCTAATAGGCCTTACTTTTAGAAAGGGCACTATCTGTTAAAGGAGAATCATAATACTATGTTAAAAGCATGAGGTTAGACCAAATGATCTCTTGAGGTCCTTGTAGCTCGAATGTAAAGAAGAGAATGTTATACTATCATAGTATAGCAATTTACTTCTCAGAATCAGGCAAAACCCCAGAAAACTTTATAGTGTAATGTCATATGAATCATTTGGTTGATTATAAATTACTGTTGGTGATTTTTAAAAGTAGTTAATTTGTTTTAAATGATGCTTCAGCTGTCTACTTTGAATTCACAAGATAATTACTCAGTTTTATAGTCTGCTTTGCCTTTGCAAATGCATCTTCATTTTCCCACTGATTTCCTTAACCATTACTCTTCATCATTAGGGTCATTTCCACTCAGAAAAGTAGTTAGGAACAGAATAAAAGTTGGAGATATAAAAATATTCAACAAGGAGGACTATGGCAATCTCATAAACATCATTAAGGCAAATGATCAAGCTCTATGGCAATTTCTGAGGGTCAGTATTTCACAGAAGTAAAAACTGACAGCCTAGTTTTTAATAATTTTGAAGACATATATGTGTCTTGGATTGATCTCCAATGTTGATCATACATAAGAAAAAATCTCTTAGGTAAAGTAGGTATTGGGAAATAGTCCTAAAATTCCTGAACTCCAGTATGCATACAGAAGTTGAATTGAATTTTGATATCTAGTGACATTTTCTGGGCCTTTGCCCAGCAAAGCTTTGTGGGAGCTAATGGTCTCCTTGAGAGGCCTACAAGTCATAATAGTTATATCTAGATGCTTCAGGACAGGCAAGAAAAACTGGGAAGTAACAATAGTTGGTTACATTCATAGTTCCTTATATTCATTGTGTTTTCAATGTAATCTCTTATTTGACCCTGAAAACAACTTTGATTGCCTGCTTCAGCAGCACATGTATTAAAATTGGAACAATATAGAGAAGATTAGCATTGCCCCTCCACAAGGATGACATGCAAATTTGTGAAGGGTCTATATTTTTTTTACAACCAATGTTTCAGATAAGGGCCTCATTTCTAAAATATATAGAAAATTAAGTCAAATTTATAAGAATACAAGTCATTCCTCAATTGATAAATGGTCAAAGGATATGAGTAGGCAGTTCTCAGATGAAGAAATTAAAGCCATCTATAGTCATATGAAAAAGTGCTCTAAGTCACTATTGATTAGAGAAATGCAATCAAAACAACTCTGAGGTACCACATCACACTTATCAGATTGTCCAACATGACAAAACAGAAAAATGATAAATGTTGGAGAAGATGTGGGAAAATTGGAACACTAAGGCATTATTGGTGGAGTTGTGAAATGATCCGACCATTTTTGGAGAGCAATTTGAAACTATGCCCAAAGGGTTATAAAAATGTGCATACCCTTTGACTCAGTAATAGCACTCCTAGGGCTATATCCCAAAGAGACCATACAAATGGGAAAAGGAACCACATGTACGAAATTATTTATAGTAGTTCTTTTTGTGGTGGCAAATAATTGGAAATTGAGAGGATACCTATCAATTGGGGAATGGCTGAACAAGTTGTGGTATATGAATGTAATGGAATGCTATTGTACTATAAGGAATTATGAGCAGGCAAACTTCAGAAAAATCTGGAAAGACTTGTATAGACTGATGCTAAGTGAAGTGAGCATAACCAGGAAAACATTGTACACAATAACAGCCATGTTGTGTGATGTCTAACATTGATAGACTTAGCCCTTTTCAGCAATGCAAGGATCTAAGACATCTCTAAAGGTAGCATGATGGAAAATGCTATCCACATCCAAAGAAAGAACTACAGAATTCGAATGCAGATCGAAGCATACTATTTGTTATTTTTTTCTTCTGTTGTGTTTTATTTCCTCTTTCTAGTGATTCCTCTTATTGGTTCTAATTCTCCCTTATAACATCACTAATGTGAAAATATGGTTAATAGGAATATATATGTATAGCTTATATCAGACTGTGTGCTGTCTTGGGGAGGGAGGTGGAGAAAAATTTGAAACTCAAAAGCTTATGGAAGTGATTGTTGATAAATCAAAATAAATTCATACAAAAAAGAACTTCTAGATATTAGCACTGAAATATTTTTTTTCTTTTCTATTTTTTCACAGAATAAACTGTGGCACCAAATCTTAAGTAACTTGCTTAATCATTCAACTGGTTTCAAAGTCAGAAATCAAATTCCAGTATGAACTCTCATGACCAAACACCACCCTGCCTTTCATTTTTCTTCAGCAATGCTCTGTATCCCTTTAAACTTTCCAATTTTCTTATTTAAAGACCATAAACCTTCCAAAAACCTCATGAATTCTTTTGCTGACTGGAACCATATTTGACTCATTGAAGCATCTTATGCTCCAGTTATCTTCAACAACTGACTAAATGTTTCACCATGCAATGGTAATCTGACACACTAGCTTATGATAATGTGAGTAAAGAGCTTAATTTATTCTATTTATTCTAAATATCCACATCTAGTGCAATTCACATATTTCATAGAATTTTTTCATGCCTTAAGACAAAAAAAATGGCAGATCAATAAAGATTGTTTTAAGCAAGGTGAAATTCAGAGCCCCTAAAATTGCAAACTGTTTTCTCCTTTGCCTGTGCTAAAGGATGATCTCATGCCATGATATGCATTATGGGATTCAGAGCTATGAAATTGTATCTTTATTGATACTGAAGATACCTAATACTCACTAACCTTAGACCTCTATTGTGAAAGGAGTGAGATGGTCTTCTTGCTTAATGTTTTGAGAAAGGACAAGGAGCCTCCTGAAACTTGTCAAAACTAATGACCACTCCCCACTTTTGATGATTCGTGTTAGAACAAAGAATGCAAGCAGAAGCAGCTTAGAATTAATCTTTTTTTTCCCATTTAATAGTATTTTTTTCAATTACATGTAAAGAGAGTTTTCAACATTCACTTTTATAAGATTTTGAGTTACAAATTTTTTCTCCACCATTCCCTCCTCTCCTCCATTCCCAAGATAACAAATAGACTATACATGTACAATCATATTAAACATATTTCCAAATTAGTCATGTTATAAATGAAAAAAAAGACAAGAAAGATAAACAAAAAAGAAAATTAGTATGCTTTGATCTGCATTCAGACTTTTTAGTTCTTTCTCTGGATGTGGATAGTTTTTTCTATCATGAGTCTTTTGGAATTGTCTTAGATCATTGCATTGCTGAGAAGAGCTATGTCTATCGATATTGACCATCACACAATGCTGCTATTACTATGTACAATGTTCTTTCTGGTTCTGCTTGCTTCACTCAGCATCAGTTTATGTAAGACTTTCCAGGTTTTTCTGAACTCTGCCTGCTCATCATTTTTTGTAGCGCAATAGTATTCCATCACATTCATATGTCACAACTTGTTCAGTCATTTCCCAATTGATTGGAATCCCCTCAATTTACAATTCTTTGCCATCACAAAAAGAGCTGCTATTAATATTTTGTACATGTGAGCTCTTTTTTCATTTTTTAATGCTCTTGTTGTGATACAGTAATATAGTTCCAAATTGCTCTCCAGAGTGGTTGGATCAGTTCACAACTCCACCAACACTGCATTAGTGTCCCAGTTTTCCCACATCCTCTCCAACATTTATCGTTTTCCTTTTTCATCATAGTAGCCAATCTGATAGGTGTGAGGTGGTATCTCAGAGTTATTTAAATTTAGGGCATTTTTTCATGTGACTATAGCTTTAATTTCTTTCTCTGAAAATTGCCTGTTTATATCCTTTGACCATTTATCAATTGGGGAATGACTTGTATTTATATAAATATGACTCAGTTCTCTATATATTTTAGAAATGAAGCCTTTATCAGAAAAACTGGCAGTAAAAATGTATATAATATAATATATATAAATATAAAATATATGTAATATTATAAAACATATTATATATATATATTTATATCTCCCAGCTTTCTGCTTTCCTTCTATTCTTGGTTACACTGGCTTTGTGAAAAAAAAATCTTTTTAATGTAATGTAATCAAAATTATCCATTTTGCATTTTATAATATTCTCTATCTCTTGTTTGATCATAAATTCTTCCCTTCTCTATTGATCTGACAGGTAAACTATTCCTTGCTCTCTGAATTTTTTTATGGTATCACCATTTATGTCTAAAACATTTACCCATTGTGGCTTTTTCTTGGTATACACTGTTAGATGCTGGTCTATGCCTAGTTTCTGCCATTCTATTTCCAGTTTTCCCAGTAACTTCTGTCAATTAGTGAGTTCTTATTCCAGAAGTTGGTGTCTTTGGGTTTATCAAATAGTATAGTACTATAGTCATTGACTATTGTGTCTTATATATATAACCTATTCCATTAATCCACCACTCTATTTTTCAGTTAGTACTAAATAGTTTTAATAACTGTTGCTTTATAATATAATTTTAGATCTTTTGCTGGGAACCATAGTCCTGGTCACTGGCTTTGTGTGCTGGGGCCTCGGGTGCTGATGGCTTGCTCTTTACATTGGGGTAGCCTGACCTAGTCATGGATGTTGCTGCCTGGTTTCCAGGGTAGTAACTTGCCTTCTGTACTGGGGTTGGAGGCCTTACAACTGGCCTGATGTGCCAGGACTGAGGGGCCTTGGTTGCTGATCTGTGCTGTGGCTAAGAGACTCCCGTTGGCTTACCCACACACTGTCTGTGCTAGGCTGGCCTCCCCTTCTATCCAAGTGAGACAGACCTTTCCTAAAATCCTTCTAAGTTATCTTACACTGGAAAATTTTTCCACTCTGTCTTTTTGTAGGTTCTGTTGCTCCAGAAACTGTTTAGAGGTTTGATTTAACATCGTTTATGAGGGAACCTGGGGAAAGCTCAGGCAACCTCCTGGCTTCTCTCCATCATCTAGAATTAATCTCTTAAATATACCAAAAATAAGTCAAGAATATATCTGCTTCTTTGTTTTTTAAGAAGAAAGATCTCCTGAAAATGTCAAAATAATTTAAGTCCTCTACTATCACTACATCTTGTATCAGAGTCAGTTTTGTGATCAGCTTTTAGAATTCATCATGGATTTTTTTTCCTGTTGGTTTCATAGCCTATAGTATATTATAAACAAGTTAACAAGCATTTGTTAAGTATTTTCTATGTCCCATGTACTATGAAAAGTACTATGAATAATAGTAGCAATGATAACTAACATTTATGTAACACTATATATTCAATGCAATCATGAGCTAATCATAAAAACTAAGTTTTAAATACCATATTTCCCCACCTTCCCATTTACCCCTTAAAAGCATGAACAACAAAACTGGAAATGGGCAAATGTTGTTCTAATTTTCAAAGAATAGAAGAAGGTCAATATTTCAAACTATAGGCTGATATGTTTACCTTCAATTCCTGCAAAATTCTAGGATATAAGGATGGTTCATCAGCTTTTAGACAGAAGTAGTAATAACTATAAGTCAGCATGGATTCATCAATAGCAGGTCATGTAAAACTACACTTTTATTTATTTTTTGTAGAGGTTATTAGCCTGATAGATTAAAGAATTGTCATAGATAAAGGCTACTTAGAATTCAGCAAAGCATTTGACAATTTCTCAATCATTCCACCAACATTTAATACTTATCTTCTATGTGCTGGGCTATGCAAAAAGGTGTTGGTGATACAAAGACAAAAAGGAAATAGCCCCTGTCATACAGAGTTATATATATATATATATATTTCATCAGATATCTCTGAGGAAGAAATTGAGAGTTGTGGGCAAGGTGGTAATGGAGGAAGATGCATATAGAACTGGTTGAATTAAAAGACCCAGAGAATGGTTAATAGAGAAATGTCAAATTGGAGGGTTTCTGTTTCTAGTGGAGGGCCAGGGGGTTCAGTGTATCCCTAACTTCAGCAGATCTCTGATCTCATCAATGTGTGTATTTTCTTTAATGATTCAGATGCCAACACATCCATGCTTGCTCTTTTACCACTCTCATTTATGCCTTCCTTTAAATCCATCAC